TATTTTATTATTTGTTTATTTATTTTTCAACTTCATTTTAAAAATCGAAATGTGGTTAGGTTCAGTTAACCTTTAACCGTCGGTTTAGTTAACATCAGCCGACCAGAAATATTTCATGTTTACTTGCCGCCATGTTTCCCATATGAAGAGGAACCGTGTACTAAACATTTTTACATCAAGTATAAAAAACAAAATACTTTTAACGATTTAAAATATAATAGACTGATATAATAGACTGACTAAAATATAATAGACTGTGAGAAATAACTCCAATAAGTGAAAGTATCATGTCTCCTCTATTGCAACTTTTAAGGGTTGAAATTCCGAAGATCGCCTTCATTTACCGAAAAATAATGCAAGTACAAAAAATTGACACATCTCATCGTGTTATCTATAGAATATCCTAAAACTTTGTCTTCTTCCATTTTTCTTAATTCTTAACCGTTTACATGAAAAACGAGTACTGAATGAGCACCCTGTATGCATTGTTTCTTTACGGGTTAAAAACCCGAATATCACCTACATTTTCCAATAAATAATTCAAGTACAAAAAATTGATACATGTCCTCGTTACCAGTAGAATGCACCAAAACTTTGTCTTCCATTTTGTTAAATTCCTAACCATTTCAAAAGTGTGTAGTAAATGAGCAGCCTGTATACGAGGGAAGGAGCCTCGCGGAATTTCGCAGGACTTCCATCGACGTTACAATAACTGCAATATATCCGGCCACGGGGCTGTTCCTTCGCGATACCAGGCGACGCGTCCGCGGCTTTCGACGATGAAAAGCAGGGTTGTAAGCGACGGGGATGAGAAGACAGGAGTTTGATGCTAGGGGTGTGAGGGACTGCTCCGTCGACGATGCTACAACAATGGCGGAATATAAATCTAAATCCCGTCCGCCATCCTTCCTGCCCTTCTTACCAGCCATCTCTTACGCCTCGATCTTCAACTCCTTTCAATCCTTTCTATTTCTTTCTCTTCTTATTCATTCCGTTCGCCTATTTTACTTTATCCTGTCGTTGCACCCTCTGTCACTCTCCTCTCCTCAGGTATTTATGTTGACGTTCATTTTCTTGCCTTCTCTTTCACAACTTTTCCAATTTGATAAGTTCCTTCATATCACTCGTTTCTCTTATTAAATCCTCCGGTGGGGTATTCTTATTTTCTGCGATTTATTTTGCACCACCTTTGTTATTGTGAGGCAGGGGTTAAGTGGAGATTAGCATGCGGAAGCTTTTATCTGTGATATATTTAATTGAAGATTGTGGGAGTTGTAATTTTTATTGCTCTTTTATTACTAAAGAGATGGTTGTATGAAAGATATTTATAGGTTTGTAAGGTTTAATATATTTTGTTGATTATTATTCCGGTAAGCAAAAGGTTTTTAGGTTATGGTATGTGTTGGGATATTTAGGTTATGGTAACTGTTATCATACTATACATACTACACATACTATACATACAATACATAATATGCATAATATACATGTTACACATAGTATACATAATAAACATATCATAACGTGTGTATAATATAACTAATCTTAAAACTTATAAAAATGATTAAAACCTTAGCAAAATAATTTTCATCACAAATAATAGTAATGAATGATTAAAATCTCTTTCTAACATTAATAACCGGTACATTTTTGATGATCATATTACTTGCAAACAAATTTCTAACCCTAATAATAATTACTAGTCCTCAACAAATTTTAATTATTTGTAATAATTAAAAATTAATGTTCTTTAATTGTACCATTTTTTGGAAAATTTCCTGAAGATTTAGTAAAATTGATTTTCGTGTAAAGGAGCACATTTCACTGAATGATTTTCTTAGAATCCCTTGTTTATTTTCAGTAATTAGCACAGCTGTGTTGTACCAATTGGAATGTACTGTAATTACATCGTAATTTAATTATATAATTTAATCAGTTTGCATTTCAATCATGTATTACTTACGTAATTTAATTATTTTGTATTTCAATTGCATAACATTTGCGTAATTTCATTAATTTCCATTTCAATTGCGTAGTGTTTTGAATACGTAGTCCAATTTTTTCGTTTAATTTAATTGCTCATTACTGTAATTGTGAACGTAATTTAATTAAACTTAGTTCTCTTAATAACATCAATAATTATTTATAATTATATATATAATTAACATCATTAATTAGCTATTTTTAATGACCTAATTTTCAATCATTCGATTCGAGTTTTTATTCATTTCCCTATCGGTAATCCATTACGTAATATTTCAAACAGTAGGGCGAATTTATTATACAAATTAAATATATCTACCTTTTCTTCAGTAATTAATTATCATGTATTGAAACAAACAAAATTGACTATGTTACGTTTAAAAAATTGTTCGAATGAAGGTAACAAAATTTGCATATTCCAAATTCCCTAAATTCCAAGCACTGTGATTTTGAAATTTCTGAAATTCTATATTTTCCAAGTTCTAGATTCGCGAAATTTCAAATTTTCCGAATTCCAAATATCCCAAATTCTAATCCCCCAAATCCCAAATTCCCCAAATTCTAAATCCCCCAAATCCCAAATTCCCCAAATTCTAAATCCACCAAATCCCAAATTCCCCAAATTCCAAATCCACCAAATACCAAATTCTCCAATTTCCAAATCCACCAAATCCCAAATACCCCAAATTCCAAATTCCCCAAATTCCAAATTCCCCAAAT